TCTAGCAGCGTTCTGATACGGAGGCTGTAGGAATGGTCCCGCTCTCGACAGTTTCAATCTATTATAAACGATTTGTTGGGAATGAAGTGTTGTAAGGGGCAACCAGGCCAGATGCTGATGCTTTGTCAATATTTCTACGGCCCTGTGTGTTTGTCACGGACATGTGCGAACTCAGGGCAGTATAATAACCGATGCAAGTGCGTATCAGTTTGACTACAGTAGGGGCATTCGACAGATTGGGTGTTGTCCCAAGTAGCTTTCACGGCAGCGGTGATATAGAGTGAGATCAACTTTTGTTCTCGGTCTGTCAATTGAGTAAAAATGTTGATCTGGGTACAGGTAGCGACCGGCATAGCAGCAATGCCCTTATGGTGGCATACTTGTCCGTGGACATAGTGCGACCATGCTAATCGACGCGTCATGTGGACAGGTAAGATCAATTTGGTGTCCACTAGGCATATCAACCAGCCCACCCAGGAGTGGTGCCCATCGCAATTTAGCCATGTAGGTAGCCAATGCACTACATTACATGGGCCACGAGGTGGTAAGGCTTTAAGAACCTCCGTCCAAAGAGTATTTGCTCGGTGTTGGTATGAAAAAGTTGTCGGACGGCACATAAGCCAGAAACAAAAACGTACAGCGATGGATCCATGACCCGATCGGAGAGATATGGCATGGCAAGGAAGGGGAAGCGTATTTGCGCTTTCCGATTGATGCATCAGTGGCCATGCGTCTAAGTTGCACAAAATGGGACTCTCCAACCTGGCTTTCTGCACCGTAAAAGGCGAGAGGCCATACTGAGGTCTGAATCTTTGAAGCTTTGTCTTGTAGAGATAGATCCGTTTTTTGCAATCGAAAAAGGCGTCGTTTTCGATCTTTCAGGCAGCCCAAGAATGTTCTTTTGGAATATTTGGAATACTGAAGCATACAACCCAAATCCTTTGAAGCTAATTTAACATCTATGTCAACATCACCAGTCAGGAAGAAAATGTGTGTCTATGTCCATATTTTGCGCATATCTTCATGTGTTCCCCATCCCAGGACTTACGAATATCACTTTTCATACGAATAGCCTGTGCAAAATTAAGTGTGTCAATGAATGCACGAAAAACAAGATGGAACCCACGAACCCGAATGCAAACACGTTCGAAAAAACTACATATGTCCAAATGACACTCTTGTAGGATGCTCTTGTGGCACACTCTTCTGGGACACTCTTGTAGGACACTCTTGTGGGTCACTCTTCTGTGACACTCTTGTGAGACACTCTTGTAGGACACTCTTGTGGGTCATTTGGGACACTCTTGTAGGAAACTCTTGTGGGAAACTCCTGTAGGACACTCTTGTGGGACACTCTTATGGGACACTCTTGTGGGACACTCTTGTAGGACACTCTTGTGGGACACTCTTATGGGACACCCTTGTGGGACACTCTTGTAGGACACTCTTGTGGGACACTCTGGTAGGAAACTCTCGTGGGTCACTCTTGTGGGACAATCTTGTAGGACACTCTTGTGGGACACTCTTGTGGGACACTCCTGTGGGACACTCTAGTAGGAAACTCTTGTGGGTCACTCTTGTAGGACACTCTTGTGGGTCACTCTTGCAGGACACTCTTGTGGGACACTCTTGTGGGACACTCTTGTAGGACACTCTTGCGGGACACTCTTGTAGGACACTCTTGTGGGACACTCTTGTAGGACACTCTTGCGGGGCATTGTTTTGGGACTCTCTTGTGGGACACTCTTATAGGACACTCTTGTGGGACACTCTTGTGGGACACTCTTGTAGGACACTCTTGTAGGACACTCTTGTGGGTCACTCTTGTAGGAAACTCTTGTGGGACACTCTTGTAGGACACTCTTGTGGGACACTCTGTGGGACACTCTTGTGGGACACTCTTGTGGGACACCCTTGTAGGACACTCTTGTGGGACACTCTTATAGGACACTCTTGTGGGTCACTCTTCTGGGACACTCTTGTGAGACACTCTTGCAGGACACTCTGTTGGGTCATTTGGGACACTCTTGTAGGAAACTCTTGTGGGACTCTTGTAGGACACTCTTGTGGGACACTCTTATGGGACACTCTTGTGGGACACTCTTGTAGGACACTCTTGTGGGACACTCTTTTGGGACACTTGTGGGACACTCTTGTGGGACACTCTTGTGGGACACTCTGGTAGGAAACTCCTGTGGGTCACTCTTGTGGGACACTCTTGTAGGACACTCTTGTGGGACACTCTTGTGGGACACTCTTGTGGGACACTCTTGTCGGAAACTCTTGTGGGTCACTCTTGTAGGCCACTCTTGTGGAACACTCTTACAGGACACTCTTGTGGGACACTCTTGTGGGACACTCTTGTAGGACACT